TGTGTGCTGACTCTTCAATATTACAATCGTGATAACCGAAACGAAACAATTATTGTCAGTTAATATTTTAATTACTACTACCCCCCCCCCCCCCCCCCCCTTCCAAAAATAAAAAACCCCGGGTCTTCTATTATGGTCCAGCGAACTTTTGTAAATTTTGTAAATTTTTACTGATGAAAAAAGAAATTTCTATGAAGTGACTCCTCCAGAGGGGTCTTCTAATATGGGGGGGGGGGGGATCTTTTATTATGAGGGGGGTTTACTTTTTTCAAACTCCTAATTACATGACTATTCTTTGACTAAGTTATGTCTACATATCCGATTCTTCAGATTAAAAATGAAGTAAATGAGAAAGAACAGCAAAGCTTTGTTGTAACAATCAACTTTTCGAATTGTTCATCGATAGCGCACTCCTATTTTCAACTATCTAAAATTATTTCTTTCTAAAAGCCCATATGACAATATCGAAGATAACACAATGCAGATGGTAGCGATGTGGTTTTCCATACACATAGATCTTTTTATGTCAGATTTTCATTCGAATACTATTAGAGGAGGGTGCAGATGTCGATGCAGATATGACTATTGATATTCTATTCACTTGAGGGTGTGGGTGTGGGTGTGTGGGTGTCGGTGTAGGTGTGGATGTGGGTTTAAATCACCTCTTTACCCACATCCACCCACACCCACATCTACACCCTTCTTGTCGTTAGCGATGCCGAGATGCTGTGGATATTTATATAGCTGTGCCGTGATTCATATCATGTACGGTTAAGAGGAGTCTATGGAGACGTGTGGTTGTGTTCTGTTCTTTTTAATGAATCGTTCTAATAGTATGTTAATAATGTACGAAACCCTATTTTGGCGTTTCCAATAAGGGTTTCGTAGAGAACCGGGTTTGTACGAAACCTAAAATGGTTTCGAATTCGTTGCAAATCTCGGAACCCTTATAGGTTCCGTACGGTACCTATTTTTTTCAGTGTGGAGGACCTATGGGTACTCCCATAGGATAGCCCTTGACAATCTATGAGTAGCCCATAAGATGGCCCCTGATAAATACTTTGTTGGTACTTAAGTACAAGTACAAGTATAGAAGAAATATACTTGTAGAAAGACAAGTAGAAGTTCAAATACTTTTTTTTCAAGTACAAGTACATGGGCAAGTATATTTGTGAAAACGCAAGTACAAATACAAGTAAATTTTTTTCAAGTAAAAGTAAAAGTACAAGTACATTTTGTCAAATAAAAGTAAAATACTTTTACTTGCTGTACTTGTACTTGTCCCAGCTCTGATTGCTAGACAAGGGGGAAAGGACGGACTTTTGTACTTCAAGTACTTTAAACTACTTTAAAGTACTTCGACGTAATTTAAAGTACTTTTAGCAGATTTTGAGCTACTTCGTACGAACTTTCAAGTACTTTAAGCTACTTTAGGCTACTTTAAGCTACTTTGAGCTACTTTGAGCTACTTCAAGTACTTTCAATACTTCTATATACTGAATTATTTAAAATTTCTCAATATGACTGTAAGTACATAATGTGGATAATAGTTAAAGGTTATTTTGTTTTTGGCAAACAATAATATAATATAAACCATTCAATATGTATCAAAAAAAAATGTTCCAATATATCATTATATAGGTATTTCCAGAGTTTATTTTAAAGAAAGACAAAAATGCATAATAAAAAAGATCAAGTAAGAATTAAAATGAGCTAAAACACAGAAGACACAAACATTTATATACGACTTCTTTTTATGGAACCATATTGTTGTTATTGTGATATTAAACGACGTTTACCACCATTATGTACAGTTTCATTT